CAAAACTAAAATCTCTTAAAAATCAAATCCTAATCAAAACTTAATCAAGACGGATTTCTTCTGTAATATTTAAATTTGTTTCCGATTTTATGATAATGAGTTATATTTTTTTACAATTTCCCTTCAGGTGAATCGATAAAGTCACTAAGGCGCACAGAGTTACCAAGAATGAAAGGAACAGAAAAGGTTGCTAAGGTGAAAAAACAATAAAAATAACAGGATTCTCACATGAAATCTATCCTTTCTACATTGTCATGATTGGCTTTTTATTTCATTTCAGTGTTCATGATCAAAAACACAAGCATTATGACCCATTAGGTTTCTAGCTGCAGCACATTTAAGACAACCACAAAAATAGCAGCTGTATCTGGGCTTAATAAAGACTACCCCTCTTTTCTCTTCTATGTGACATGTCCCTTCAGAATGCTGACAAACAAGGCTCTCCACAATTTCCTGTCCTTTGTAACTCTTAATAAATTTTGTCATTTTGTTATCTCTCCTAAACCCTGTTCTACCATTAAGCTCACTAGGTAGGTTATGCATTGTTTTCCTCTGTCCCTTTGCTGTCTATCTTCCCTGTGTGTATTAACTTTTCTAAAACTTCTTTCTTCATTAAGTACTCTAAAAATTTCAACTGCTTCTTTCTGATGTTAAGCATAAGCATCCTTTTGTTTCCATTTCCTCTTAAGTTTTGTCATTGTTCACATGTTCAGTTCATAATATTTTCAGCATCATCCAGCATTTATTCCCATATCAGAGAGTCCGATAGTACAGTACTCTTTTCTTTGTTTCTAAAAAAATTCTCTTGTTTCTTAATGATGTAATGGAATAACCTGTAACCCCCATGAGTGACTACACTATGGGTAGTAACTACCTTAAAATATCTGTAAGTCAACGGAATACAGAGACTACCTGAGTCTAGCTGAGTATGATTCAGACTTACATGAGAACTACCAACCTTCCAATAGTAACACTCACTACTGGATTGACTTGTGATGATCTTGTGCATAACTGTTACCTTTATTCTTATTGTACTGATTTTTTAAACCTTTACTTATTTTATCCACCTTGTTGTTCAAGTATATATTCCTATTAGCACAGAATATAACATTAACAAACACAAAATTTGACATGGAATGTAGTTCTTGTTTTTGCAAATTTAATGAAAGCATCTATCTCAGATTATTCAAAGCATCATTTTTGATCTCTTATAACATGTCCCTACTTGCCACCGCATAATAGTTAATTGATATAATGGAATGACCTGTCACTCCTATGAGTGACTACACTATAGGTAGTAATTACCTATAAGTATCTGTAAGTCAATGGACAACAGAGGCTAGCTGCGACCTGTTCGAGCTAGTCGGTCGAACTCTCTGCCTTCGGGCAGAGAGGAACCTGGATGAGGCTCTGCCAAAAAGCAGAGTTTTGTTCAGGGAGTTAGACTGCCCCTGAACCCGTTTATACGGGTTTGAAAGGGAATATTTTTGGCTGAGCCTACAGGCTTGGAGAACCCACGTTAAACCCAGCCTTGTGCCACATGCAACCCTTATGGGGTGTGTGTGTGTGTGTGTGGGGGGGGTAAATATACTAGCTGCAATCTGTTCCAACTAGACAGTCAAACACTCTGCCTCTGAGCAGAGAGGAACCCGGACAAGGCTCTGTCAAAGGGCAGATCTCGTTCAAGGAGGTTGACCAACCTGATCCCATTTATGTGGATTCTACGGGTATTTTTTGGCCCAGCCTATGGGCTCAGAAGACCCACGTTAAACTCAGCCTTGTGCCACATCTACCCTTGTGGGGGTGTAGGCTAATAAATATTGACTAGCTGGGATCTGTTGAGTATGACTCAGACATATGCAAGATCTACCGACCTTCCAATAATAGCACTCACTATTAGAATGAGTTGAGATGACCTTGTGCATAACTGTTACCTTTATTCTTATTGTACCGGTTTTTTTACAATAAACCTTTACTTATTTTATCCACCTTGTTTATCAAGTATATACTCCTATTAGCACAGAATATAACACTTAATACTTTGCTTAGATTTTGGAAGCCAACTTTTGCTGTCCAAATGTGCCCTCAGATTCCAGGGTAACACTTTCCATTTTCTATTAAAACACCTCCGAGATATTTAAATTGTCATACTTGCTTGATTTTAGTATCTCCAATTTGAAATTTGCATGTTGTACTGTTTCATTTGTGAGCAACCATGCATTTTATCTTCTTGCAATTGAAGCTTAGTCTTTTCTTCTGGCTTTCCTTCACTACTTTCCACAGGATTTCTTGTACTCTTCTTTTCAGTTATCATCATTGTGTCATCTGCATCTCTTACATTGTTAAGACTGTAGCCGCCAATTGTTTTAAACTCTGAATCACCCTTCTCTTGTCCATAGCAATTCATCAATAATAATGAAAAAGAATCTGTGGAGAGCCATGATCACCTATGTCCTGAAGGAACATGGCATAATATTAAATATAAGGTTTACTGTAATAAGAATTATGAGTCTGAGTAGGCATCTCTATTTTTTAAACAGTGTCGTTCTTCTAGTCTAGGTTTTCTGAAAATCTTTGACCTTTTAGTGCTTAGACATTTTTTTTGAGATTCGACGAAAATCGGTTTGAATTGATAAAGTATAAATTGCGTTTTAACATGATATGTAAGCGGATATCATATTTTAGTCTTTTTCATGTATATAATCTATATGAATGGAATAATAAAAATGAATTCTTGTCTGATATTAAAAAAAGTCTTCTGGAACAATGGTCATGAAAAGTTTAATCTATGCATCACCATGACTATTCTTGGTTAAAGATAATGGATTGGTATCAAGTTGGCTTTTGCACAGTTTTGATTTCAGAGTTGCCCTTCTCCTAGAGTGATTGCAATCCAAGTCTAGAGAGGTCAATGTTATTTAACCCATCTCTCTTTAATTAAATGTCATGTCCGTCAGGATGTAGATGATCATAACTTTCCTCACATTCCTTTTCTTTATTATCATATTATTTAATTAGACAGATGGGATTAAATAACAGGGTAGACCAGGCTTTCTAGCTTTGAGTGGCAACCCATCTAAGAAAAAGAAAACTGAATTCTAATCTGGGGAGAAGGCAATGGAAAACAACTCCACTATCTTTCCCAAGAATTCATGGCAATTCACAGATAATTAAAAAAAGGAATAGTGAAAGATGCTTTGTAAAATCTAAACAAAGTATTAAGAAATGGAAAAATTTCATTCAAACAAAAAAAAAAATGTGTGTTCGTCTCTTACATAATATGAATCCTCTTATATGGTCAGGACGTGATAAGATGAAGATAATCGTCTACATGTAAATAATGATAACTCCTCATCCCTTCAGAGCAAAACATAATCAAGGTGAGATCATAATTTTGTCAGTCATCATCATAACCACAGCTTTCATCATCATCATTTTTATCATTATCTCAATAACAGTTATCATCATCATTGTCATTTTTATCATCACAATCACATCTGTCATCTTCATAATTATCATCATCACAATCACATCAAATATCATCACTATTTTTATCATCATCACCATCACATTCATCCCCATCATCATTTTTATCATCCTCAGAATCACACCAATCATCATCATCCTTTTTACCATCATCACAATTAGAGTCATCATCATCACCATTACAGTCATCATCATCATCATCATCATTTGTATCATCTTCAGAATCACACCAATCATCATCATATTTTTACCATCATCACATTCACAGTCATCATCATCACCATTACAGTCATCATCATCATCATCATTTGTATCATCCTCAGAATCACACCAATCATCATCATCCTTTTTACCATCATCACAATCACAGTCATCATCATCACCATTACAGTCATCATCATCATCATCATCATTTGTATCATCTTCAGAATCACACCAATCATCATCATCCTTTTTACCATCATCACAATCACAGTCATCATCATCACCATTACAGTCATCATCATCATCATCATTTGTATCATCCTCAGAATCACTCCAATCATCATCATCCTTTTTACCATCATCACAATCACAGTCATCATCATCACCATAACAGTCATCATCATCATCATCATTTGTATCATCCTCAGAATCACACCAATCATCATCATCCTTTTTATCATCATCACAATCACAGTCATCATCATCACCATTACAGTCATCATCATCATCATCATCTTTTGTATCATCCTCAGAATCACACCAATCATCATCATCCTTTTTACCATCATCACCATCACAGTCATCATCATGACCATTACAGTCATCATCATCATCATCATTTGTATCATCCTCAGAATCACACCAATCATCATCATCCTTTTTACCATCATCACAATCACAGTCATCATCATCACCATTACAGTCATCATCATCATCATCATTTGCATCATCCTCAGTATCACCATCATCGTTTTTATCATCATCGAAATCACTGCTCTTATTACTATCATCATCATAACCATTTTACATCATCATGATCACAGTTGTCAAGATCATCACAATCACATCTGACATCATCATTTTTACCATCAGAATCATAGCAGTCATCATCATCATCATTTGTACCATCCTCAGAATCACATCTCTCACCAACATTTCTGTTATCATCACAATCTTAGCTTTCATCAGCATCATTTTTATCATCATCATCACAATCATAATCTCATCACTTATAACCTTTTTTCATCATCATCATCACACTTGTCATCATCATCATTTTTATTATTTCCACCTGTCATCATCATCATCACCCTTTTATCATTATCACAAATACAGTTGTCGTCATCACCATTTTTAACACTACTGTTGTCTTATCTTTTTAGTTATAACAACAACAAAGATGGAGATAACAATCTGCAGGTAAATAGTCTCCTCATCCCAGAGATTAAATCCAAGAAATGTTACGGTCTTTAAACACTGATTAACCTGTGTATCCTTCTCTCCCTACAAAATATCATTTTGTTACTTACATCATCCCAAGGGCTGCTAATCCATCGACTAATCTTTGGACAAAGCACATCTGTTTGATGACAAGTCTTCTCACTGACTGGCCGCTTCAGACTTGCACATGCCGAGTCATCCAAAGCAATCTGCTCTTCATCTCCAAGGCTCCTGACACACATCACTGTTCGTCTCTGGATGCCCGAGCCACAGGTCACTGAGCAATGCTGCCAACGTCCTTTCCACCACCTGAAAATTCAACAAACCGAGATAGAAGTTAATGGTTTGAGTGAAACAGGTAAACACTTAAGCGGATCAGATAACAAAAAATTTTAATTAAAAAACAGGTCTGTTATATAATTTGTATTAAGATGAAAAGCTACATATACATCTCTTCTCCTAGCTTATGTTGACAAGCAGTCGAGAAGGAAACTCAAATTCAAAATGATGGAGATGGCAATGGAAAACAACCCTACTGCCTTTGACTGAGAATAGCCATAGTGATGCACAGATTAAGTATAATGTCACGTCCCTTCAGGGCAGCAGGTAATGGTTCTCCACAGTTTCCTTTCCTGTTGCATGCTTCACTGTTTGTTTTTTTTTTACAATTGTGAACATCCTCTACAAGGACCAAGAACCATTCAAAGTAGAGGATTGTAGATTAAGAGGTACATGAAGATATGCAAGGATGATAATGGTTAATCTTAGACTTGAACAGTTTAAGATGAGAGTATTTGGGAGTCGGTTCTACAAAATGGCAGTTCATGGGAAGAAGCTGCTCAAGTGGAACTTACATCTTATTAATGATATATAAAGGGAATGAGGGTGGTGGTTGTTATTCTTTTACACTAGCAGCCATACAGGAATAGAGAGCCCAATGTCACTTCAGAATGTAGACGAATATGGCTCTTCACAGTTTCTTTATCATCTGTGAATTGTCAACATCAAGTCCCTTCAGGAGGTAGGCAATCATGGCTCTCCACAGTTTCTTTATTATCTGTAAATTGCCAATGTCATCTCATTTCAGGATGTAGACAGTCTAGCACTTTGCAAATTCAGTTTCTTTATTAATTATTAAATGCAACAATTTCTTTGGGAAGATCTTAGAGTTATTTCATGCCACCTCTCTGGTTTGTAAATCAGTATTTTTCATCTGTTAAACTGATTGTTACCCATGTCTTGAGACTTTAGTCTATACTGTTATTTCACCCAGAGATGGAGTGACATAAGATGAGTGAATACATCTCTGCCAGGGGTATTGGTGTGAAAGCAAAAGGCTTGGCCAGAATTTGAACTTGGCTCTATTTAATTCAAAACTCACCAGCATATACTTCCACTTAATAGAGAAGCAAGAAAATAAAAATTTCCCTGATATCTCCAGTAGGAACAAAGGGTTTAGAAGTGAAGACCTGATGGTAGATATGCAAGATCAGGAATACTGGCATCTAACTGTGGGATCTATGATCTCGACTGAAGTTGAAAGATGATGAGATAAGGTGCTGTCTGAAGGATATTTTCTCTGTGTTCGGGAAAATGAAATCATGTGACAGTGAATAGAGAGTACCATCCAAAGTAGTAGCATAGCTAGAGTGGGGGGAAGGGCAAATAGGAGTGGTTCTCCCTGAGTGCCACTTTTATGGAGATTTTTGTATAAGCCCGTATAGGCTGTATTAAAATAAATGTGGTTTTAATGTCAAGATACAACTCAAAGCTGAAGAACCTTTTTGATTTCTATGGCTCATGTATTTAGGTGATTGTTATCTTGGCCAAACAATAAACATTATCCAGTGAAGTATTCAGGGCTGTTTTATCATTGCTGGGAATGTTAAACCTGTGAGCACACACAGAGTGCATTCTTTTAACACTGAAGCTCCTTTGTGTATTGGAGACACATCTTGGTTATTATCGTATAAATTTCAGTTATTTTTCTTGACAGGCATTCAATTGAGAGTATGTGTTGCTCTATTATTCATCTTTTGGGTCTCTTAATAGCTAATATAGACACACACACACACACACACACACACACACACACACACACATATATATATATATATATATATATATATATATATATAATTAAGAAAGCAGAGACTTTAGAGACTCATGGTAATATTTTATGTTGTGAAACTGATATTTCACTTTCACTTCATCAAACCAAATGGTTTCAACAATAAATGGATTTAAAATTTTGCCAGGCACAAAACGAAATATAAAAACATAAATTCAAAATGGGATAAGGGAGAAAGAAAGAAAGAAAGAAAGAAAGAAAGAAAGAAAGAGAGAGAGAACAGAAAGAGAAATGGGGAGAAATGAAGATATGTCTGTCTAGTGAGTGGGGTGGGGGTAACATAGAAGATGAAACAGTAGTGGTTGAGAGTAGACAGGTTGATCTCTTTTTCAGTGGATGTGGGAAGTGAAGTAGAGAGAGTATCTTCAAAGGGAAACAGAGGAAATAGACAAAGGAAATAGGTCAAAGGAAAAAGAAAAGAAAGATGAAAAAAACAGAGGAAGAAAGGGAAAACTTGAGAGATGAATTGGAACTGGTAATCTTTGGTGTTTAAAACTGAATATATTTGAAGAATTTCTTTTTAGTTATTTATTCCTGTGTAATTTTTGAAAAATAGGTGATTAATAAAAAGTAAATTAAGAAATAATTTTTCAAAAATAAAATAATAATTTTAAAAATACATCTGTGTAAAGATTATTTTTTAAATTTAAAAAAAAATAAAAAAAATCTTTCTTAAAAAAATAATCGTCATTATTTTCTCTTTAAGTTACATATGCTATTCATTTTAGTTGTTGCTGCTGTTTGTATTCCTCAAATAATGTGGTTTCTATTATCTGATACAGTTCTTTGTTTCTGATGCTGAAGTGCCATTCCACAATATGCAAATTGTTACAAAATCAAAATATTAACCTCAAAACTCAAGTCATGTTCTTAAATAGCTTAGTTAGATCAAGATTTTCATATGGATGTCATGGATGATGCCAAACTTGTTCAGAAATATTTAAACTGTTTGCTGTATACAAACACTTTGTTAAACCAAAGGTTAAAAATAGCTTTGATTGAGTAACTAAATAAAGGGTTGGGTTTAAAATCCCAAAGTATATCACCTGAAGAAGGCTGGAACATACAATGACCGAAACATTGTGAACATAGCAATAAAGATGAGGGCAACAATCCAAATGATGTAAATAAAGCATACAACAAATTTAGTATAGGAAATAAATAAACTGAACATAGAATAGGCTGCACTACAGGTAGTTTCAGCCCACTTACATACTGCTACAAAACTAAAACATTAACCTAAAAATTTGAGTCATGTTCTTAAATAGCCTCATCAGATCGAGACTTTCATGTGGATGCCATACATGGCGCCAAAACCGTTCAGAAATATCTAAACTGTCAGCTTTCTTAGATCAATGGTTAAAATGGCTTTGCATGTGTGCTGTGGTGAGGATTGTCCTTCTTTGAACCTTGTGGGTTGGCGCTACAGAATCAAAAACAAACTACTCTACCAAATAACAGAAACCACATCACTTAAGGAATTACAGCAACAGCAACAACTAAAATGGATAGCACATGTAATTCAAAGAAAAAGTAATGACACAATCAAGATGTTGACATTCAACGCTACTTCAAATAAAAGGTCCAGAAAGAAAAACCCCTATTGATATTAGAAAGAGAAATAAAAGCTACTGGACTTGAGAAACCTATTTTCCTGAAAAATTGTTTTAAAAAAGAGATTTTATAAATTTCAAGGCACAGTAGTACTGGGTCAATAAATTCCAAATGTTTCCTTATAGGGAAACGGCTAATATTATTATTTAATTATTCAGTTAAGTGCCATATGTGATACATGCTTGGGCACACATGTATTGAAAGATACATGACTGATGAGGCAGAAAATTTTTCCTGCAGAAGATTGCCATTTCTTCCTGCATTACTCTGTCCTGCTACTCAACCCATAGCTGGGGGGAGAAGAGATGGATTCATACCTTTCTTAAGGGTATTTTTAAGTGGATTTTTGCATGTAAGTAAATATAATGAATATGACTGGAATTTGAACTCAGCTCTCCAAATTCCCATTCCGAGCCATTATCCATGACACCACAAGGCACATCTTAATGTTATCATTAACATTCTCAATTCTGAATATTTACATATATTGACATATATACACTGATGGAAAGTAAAATTACAACATCTCAAGATTAAGCACACAGGTAATATAATCAGAATATAGTAATGATCGCATATAGAGACTAAACTACTCTCCATTAATCATCTGAGAAACTCATTTCTGTCTTCCATCAGCATGGCTGATGCTAACCTCCAGTTAAGTGACACATTGTGCCTTCACGTGCTAATGTTTTATGAAGTGAAATGACTATATTGAATCCATTCCTAGATCAACTGCTAAAAAAGTTGGTATACTGAGTCGCGTGAGACAATTTTTCTCTTCAGAAGAGATGCTGGAGATTCTGAAGTCGTCTGGAGGCCGTGGTTGAAGTCAATGGTGATTTTATTGAATAAATTTACTCTTTAGTATGTCAAGATATTTTTTCTGTAATTTTGATAAATACATCTGTTAAAATGAGATGTCAGTGTTATTTTTATTTTTGCGTAATTTAGACAACAATTTATTCATCGCAGCCTGTATATCAGCAGGAGCCTGTTTCTTTTTAAAATACATTTTTTCTAGACTGTAAACATTTGTATGTATTGATGATGAGTTAGTGATCATATTATGAAGCAACAGAAATGTTACTGATCATATTATAAGTCAACAAAAATCACACAATATATCTGCTTGCCATTAATTAATAAATAATATTATTCAACCTATAGTCGAACTGAAGAATTTTTTTTAATAGCAGGCGCAATATGAACAAAATAAGACATGCAAATAACACTGTACAGTATTTACATTAGTCAGACTATTGTCCTCATCTTTGTCGCCATATTTGTCACAACGTTTCAGCCATTGTACGCTCCGGCCTTCTTCAGGTGGTTGGAATTTCGAACTGAACCCTTTATTTCGATCACTGGGGTAGACTGTTCTAGTTCCACGTGCCATGTTTGATGGATGTCAGTTATCAGTTATCTCCTGCTAATTTTCCCTCTGAAAGTTCTCCAATGCCTTAACCAGGAATTGAACTCACCTTCTTTGGGTCTGTCACTGGATCTAACCAACACCTTTATCCACTGTGCCATGTGTCCTTGAGGACATCTGGGTATGAACTTCTGAGTATTATAAACCTAATGTTTTCAGCATCATTTTTACCAGTGCTCATATTGCAATTTTTTTGCAATGTAAATACTGTACATAATACCTCATCTCAGAAATATAGACAAATAACACTGTATTAATGCAGACATAGAAAAAGGAATGGAAGAGATGCTAAATGAAAAGAAATGTTTTTCAATTGATTGATTTGTTTTACAGCTTATCAAACTTTCTGAAGTCATTTAAAAACAAAATGTATGTTTAGACCGTAAGAATTGTTTGGAGGTGATAATGATTTTCTGATACAAGTCTTACTATTTAACCCATAGTTGGTAGGAGAAGAGATCAATTCATATCTTTGGCAAAGGGATTTGCACATAAGTAAATATAACAAAACCAATCTGTCTTTTTTGTTATCTCGTGAAACCCTATTCTGCCATCTATTTAATCATGCTCGTTAGGTAGTCTTTCCTCATTATGTGACTTAAAAATTTCAACTCTCTCTTTCTGATGCTATGTATAAATGTCCTTTTCATTTCCATTTCTTCTAAAACTTTGTTGTTGCTGACATGTTCTGTCCATAGCATTCTCAGCATCCTTCTGTAGAACCACATTTCTGTTGTTTCAAGTTTCTTCTTCATCTGTGAGGAGATTGTCTAACATTCATTGCTATAGAGGAGAACTAACATTATGTAACAGTTCAGTATAGTTGCAATACAAACCAAAATTTGGCTGTGTGAGTGTTGAACAAGCACAAATGTGCCAGAGCATGTATCTGCAACAGGGATTAGATAGCCAGTCTAGTAGATAAACATAGCTGGATATGAACAGTCAGCTAGATATAATAACGAAAACTGCATGGTTACAAAAAGGTGAAAATTATATTTTCCTTTTATTTGTTTTAAAGAAAAAAAAAAAAGATATATATTTTTAAATGTCACCTTCATTGGCTAAAACATTAGGAAGAACATAGATTTTCTGAATATTATGCACAAAGATAACTTGAATGCTACATACAAAAAAAATGTTTTATAGTTAAATAAAAGAACCTTTAATGGGAGAAAATCACCTGCATATGGATAGAAAATAAATTCTGTAAATAAACAAAAACAGAAAAGTGTGTAAAACAATGATGTATCTTCTCACCAGACTTATTCAACCTTTACAGCAAGGTGATCCTGAGATCTACCAGAATTTAATATTGGCACACCCAATTTTAACCACATAAGATATGCAGATGACAGAGTTGCTAGCAGGCACAGAATAAAAACCGTTCTGCCAACCATTTAATCAAGCTCACTAGGTAGGTCATGCAATGTTTTCCTCTGTCTCACTTGCTCTCAAGTCTGTTCGATGAGTGTCAAATTTTAATTTAAAATTTTAAAACACGTAAAAAGATGAAGTAATAAGATGTGAAGTAGCAAGCTGACAACCTGCAAATACAGTCGATTTTACAGATAAAATCTACTTACATGGAAGGACAAAGGTGCTCATTACAAGTCCTCTGTTTATCGTCTGGTTTTGTGGTAGCATTGCAGTAACTATCATCAACTCGTCCTGCTTCCATTTCTGTGCAGATTATAACAGACCGTTGTGTACCTACAATGCAAAAGAATTATACCAATTATATTTATACCAAATTAAAACCAAAAAAATATAGTGAAGGAAAGTGAGAAGAAAGGACTAAACCTAAATTAGAAAAAGACAGAAGAATGCATGGTTGTTAGCAAAAGGGACTGCTCAACATGCTAATTACAAATTGGAGATGCCAAAATCAAACAGGTACAAATTAAATATGATGGTAGCAGTTTAACAGAGGATGCAAAGAGCAATACTGAAATCCAAAGACACATTGGTATAGTGAAAGATACCTTCCAATACTAAGTAAAGTATTAAGAAATAGAAAAATCTTTTTACAAACAAAGAGCAATGAACTGTTATGCAATATCAGTTCTCCTATATAGCAGTGAATGGTGGACAATCTCCTTAAAGATGAAGAAGCAACTTGAAGCAACAGAAACGTGGTTCTACAGAAAGATGCTGAGAATACCCTAGACCAAATAAGTGAGCAATGCCAAAGTTTTAGAGAAAATAGAAATAAAAATGTGCAGTGTGGCATAATGGATATTGGCTCGGAATGAGAAATCAGAGGGCTGAGTTCAAATTCCAGTCAGGTACATTACCTTCACTTATGCACTAATACCCTTGGGGAAAGTATGAATTCATCTCTTCTACCCACAGCTAGGGAGGTATCAGCCACATCAGGTTGAAACACAGGTTCCCATAAGATCACCAAAGTTAAGCAAGGTTGACCCTGGTTAGTACTTAGATAGGTAACTGCTGATGAATACCAGGTGTTGTAAGCTTTGATGTGCATATGATGTAATGGATACTGGCTCAGAATTGCTAATCAAAGAGCAGAGTTCAAATTCCAGTTGGGTCCGCTATATTTACAAATACCCTTGGGGAAGTTATAAAGCTATAACTTCTTCCCCCCAACTATGGGTTGAATAGAAGGACAGACTGGGTCCTTTAACCTGAGTTGGCAACCAGTCTACTACATAAAGTAAAGGCAGCCTACTGCAGGAAAATCTGCTGCCTACTCAATCATGAATGGAAGAAGACATGATTGATGAATCATGTACCACGTATGACACTTTACTGACTGACTACCTAAAATGAGGAAGGGATATTTGAAATTTCTAGGGCACATAAGAGTAACAAAGGAAAACAATGTGTAAACTACCTCGTGACCTTCAGTAAATGGATGGCTTAACAGGATTTAGGAGAGATAGCAAAAAGAAGAAATTTATTAAGAGCTACAAAAGACAGGAAATCGTGGAGAGCTATGATCTTATTCTATATGTTATAAGCTTGAAAGAACATGGCATAGAGTAGAAGACTTAACATGGATTTAAAATTTACTGACAGAACATTTGCCAAATTTCTATGAGATTGACAAATATAAGAGTAGGATAATGGCTGCAAAAGCATCAGTTCATCTCTTCCCACTTCATCTATGGATTAAATAGCAGGAGACACTCGTCTCTCTAGCCTTGTCTAGCAACCAGTCTAGAAGAAAGATTGATTGATTTGTTTTTTATAGCTCATGAGCCTTTTTGCAGAATATTTAAAGCCAGAAAATATTTTTTAAATTTTAAGAATTTAGGTAGGATAATAATGATTTACTGATACAAATTCTCCTAATTAACCCATAGCTGAGGGGAAAAAGCAAGTGGTGGGGGATTCACACCTTTCCCAAGGATATTTGTATGTAAATAAATATAACTGACTGGAATTAAAACTCAGCTCTAAGATTTCTAACTCAGTGCCATTATCCAATGCATCACCCACACATCCAAACTTACAGCACCTGCTATTCTCAAGCAATCACCCATCTAAGTACTGACCAGACTCAATGTTGCTTAACCGGTGATTGTATAAGAGCCTGTGTTTCTAAGAAAAGGAAAACTCTGAATTCCAAGCAATTGGAAACCACTCAACTATTTTTTCTAAGAATACAAGAAATTTCACAGATGATTAAGAAAGAAAAAGTAATTTTCTGAGAGTCATGATCATCTGCATCAATTAATCAAAAGAGAGATGGGTTAAAGAGCAGTGTAGACTGGGCTCTTTAGCATTGGATGGCAACCAGTCTAAAAGAAGGAAAATGCTGATTTCCAAACCATAGTGAAAGCAATGGGAAACCACTCTTTTCCAAGGATGTTTAGCTTCATGCATAAAAAAAATAAAAATAGATCTGTAGCTCGTCATGAGTGCCTATATCAGTAGTTGCTGGAATTTTTTTCTCTGGACCTCCTTTTTTAGAATTAAAATTTGCTCTCGCAACATTAAATATTATGCGATAAAAAGTATATTTAAAAATAATAAAAACAGAAATAGGATTACAGGGAGATAACTGCAGTTTTAAAATCAGAACATTATCATTGATAACTCTCTCCTCCAATTTGAGAACCCTAGTTATTATATTCTTAATACTTGATATAATGCAAAAATATCACAATGATAAAATTGATCAATAATTATTTATAACCACTTATACTGGGACTCATGTATGCAATTACAAGTCATCCATAATAATATTTTAAATTTTGAAGTCATATTTATTTTTGGCTTATGAATTTTTTGAAACTATTTCTAAATCTTTGATTGTCTTTCAATCATTCCACCTTAACTCCTATCCTCTTCTGCCACACCTTTGAGGTATGATGCCTCATTTGGGAAACACTGCTTTAGAGTAATTACTCTTGTTGTCATTAGTAAATAGGGGAGATCAGCCTGTGGGACAGATAAATAAAATACATCAGTGCAAAATATGGATAGGATGTGCATGTGTTGTTACGGTCACTGGTACAAAAAAAGGGATTGACATGTTTTTGTGTGGAAAGGCCTGCCTTCTATACACTAAATTGCTGAACACAGACTCGTCCACTCACTATCATCTGCTTATAGGAACCAGGTGGTTGCAAAGTGGGTTGATGAATTGGATCTTGATAACTCTCTCCTCCAACTTACAGTTACTAGTTACTATATTCTTAATACTTAATATAATGCAAAAATATCACAATGTTAAAATCACTCAATAATTATTTATAACTATTTACACTGCGACTCTTGCACACAATTACAAGTAATCCATGATAATATTTTACATTTTGAAATCATATCAATTTCTGGCATATGGATTTTTTTAAATTATTTCTAAATCTTTGATTGTCTTTCAATCATTCCACTTCACCTGCTATCCTCTTCCACCACAATTGTGACGTACCATTTGGGAACCACTGGCTTAAGGCTCTTCTATAAATGTCATCCAGCTGACTACGAAATGTTTAAACTGTGGATTATCCCCTCAGAGGTTTGATGGTTTTGCCAAGCGGACAAGAATCTATAAGCATGAGACACTCTTGGTCTTCATCCTCTTTTCTTTCTTTTTCACCAAACATGCTGTACTGATCTTTTTCCCGAGGAAGGAGATATCCCCACCACCAGTAATTGAACACCACTCTCTCTCTCTCTCTCTCTCTCTCTCTCTCTCTCTCTCTCTCTCTCACACACACACACACACACACACACACACACACACAAGCAAATGTGTATCACCCAAACAATTCCATGCTTTTAACCTTTAATATTCTGGAGGTGATTTTGTTTGGAAAGCAAAAAAATTATTCTAAATCTATAATTGTCTTTCAATCATTCCACCTAACCTGCTATCCTCTTCCAATGCACCTCGGAATCATTGGCCTATATCTTGAAGGAACATGGCATTAAAAAATGGTTTCATAGGGTGAATGTTCTAATCCCATACTCAAAGAGTTTTTGAATTCAGTGTTATAGTTTTCTTAGACTGGCTGCCAACCAAGACTAGAGGGCCAAATTTACCTTACTATTTAACCTATAGCTGTGGAGAGAAGAGATGGATTTATACCTTTCCCAAAGGAATCAATGCAAAAGTGAATACAGTGGTATTGATGCCTTTGAGAAAGCTGTTCTCTCCCTAGCTATGGGTTAAACAGCAGGGTAGATTGGGCTCTCTAGCCATGGGTAGTAGCCAGTCAAAGAGGATGACTCTGAATTAAAAAACATGGAGAAAGCAAGATATTGTGTACAATGTGTGGAATTCAGGGGAAATAAATGCTTCCATTTTGTAGTGCCTGGATTCAGTGAAAGTTGAATTGCCTTCAAGTTTTTTAATGTTCATATACCTACATGAAGTACTTGTTTTGCATTATTATATAAACATATATATGATTATATGAACACCAAAGGGATTTTCTACAAGATTATATGATTATGTCAACAGAAAAGGGATTTTCTCCAAGATTATATGATTATATGAACCGAGTGGGGATTTTCTCCAAGATTATATAATTATATGAACCGAGTGGGGATTTTCTCCAAGAGACGATAAACTATATCCGTATCCTGGGTATGACAATAAACTACATCCACATCCTGGGTATGACGATAAAATACATCTGCGTCCAGGGTAAGATGATAAACTACGTCCAACAGCCTCTGATAATACATTTTTGAGAAAATATTACCAACTATGCGTTTTTGAAAAAATAATATTACCAGCTATACGTTTTTGAAAAAATAATATTACCAGCTATATACGTTTTTAAAAAAATAATATTACCAGCTATATATTTTTGAAGAAAATATATTAACAGAAATAGATTTTTGACAAAACAAAAATATTACCAGAAAAAAAAAAGTTGTCGGCATTAAATGACACATTGAGGTTGATATGCCATAAAACAAAACAAATCAAACCAAACCAAACCAAACAACTCAGTATCTATGCTGACTATACAACTACATACTCCTGTCTTAATAGTAAATCAGATAGTCTAATAAGGTCAAATTGGCAGCTGATCTCAAAAATGACCTACAATCTGCTGTTATATTGGGCAAAGAATAGTTTCTTAAAATTAATGCTTTCTAAATGAAACTACTCACTATTAATCATCTGAGAGATACCTTTATGCCTTCAATCAGAATGGTTGATGATAACCACTAGGAGGGTGACCCATTGCACCTTTTCGGGTTAACATTTTTTCCGCTGACATAAGTGGAAAGATTATATTGGATCAATTGCTAGGTATGCAGCTAAGAAAGTTGGTTCATTATTTTGTGATTGACAATTTTTCTCTCCAGAATCTATCATACAAATTTATAAGTCTACCATTTGCCCTCGCTTAGAATATTACTGCCACATCTGGTCTGATGTTCCTGCTATATGTTTAGAGATTTTTGATAAAATCCAAAAAAGAACCTGCAATGTTATTGATCCTGACCTAGCATCTTGCTTTCAGTCACTTTGCCACTTCCATAATGTAAGCTTCCCTATAACTTTTATAGGAATAATTTCAGAGTAATTTTCATGGTAATTGTTTCTTCTATTGCACTTTTCGCTGGTGGAACTTTCTTCCAGCTTCACTTGTATTAACAAAACCAATGTTGTTACAATATTGGATGTTAAAAATAACAGTGATAAAAACAAAAGCAGTCAGCAACTGACCGAGACAACAGAAATTTAAAATTTACAAACATTTTTTTTGTATTTTTGCTTTGTCCCCTGTACATAAATCATTCCATCAATAAAATGTTATTTAGTCTGAAGTCCTTTTGAAGGATGAAACTTGTTGCATAGGATTTTTTTCCACACTGTTATTCAGTTTCTAACTTTCTGTCTGATATATAGAGTTTCTTCCCAGAATTATTTTACTCATAAAGGGCAAACATACAGCGACCTTGCTTGAGAATAATACAACAAAGATACAAAGACCTTATAAACAATGTTTTCTTGGAAGCAATAATGTCTCATCTTCTGG